TGAAGGTCTCATATACCAACATAACAGGGATTTCCTTTGAGTAGCATTGAGTTTTTGTAACTGATACTGCTTCAGAAATTAAAAATATTTTTAATTTAAAACGTTAGTAAGCCATTGGATTCTTATGAAAAGTATTTCTTGGTTACTTCCCCAGAGCCCAGGGGAACTCCTCCTCTTGTTGATTATTCATTCAGTCTTGTCAGCAAACAAACTTTTGAGCATCTGCTGCCAGCAGGGCGGTGTGGTAAATGATGGCACCATGGGCTTGGACAGGCCACTTGCAGCTCAGCGTTAACAGTTCGTTGTTTCAGAAATTCTTGGTCTTCCAGGAGAATGCCAGATGTCTGGGTTATTGTTGTGCCTTGGGTTAGCAACCTGTTTGTCAGAGGACATGCAGAACTGACTTTGTCTGAAGATTTCCCTTTGTATTTCAGAACAGCCTCCTACTCCCTATTCCCACTCAATTAGTATTTTACTTTTAATACTTCTATATAATTCTTATTTTGTCACTTATGAAACATTTCACATTTCTGTACTCTTGATTTTTGTGAGTAGTAGTTTCTTCTATGAAACCAAGTAAAATCAGTAATACTGACTTTACTTGCATACTCAATTTGGGGGATATTTTTTTTCTTGCAGCTGAAGTCTTCATTGGCACCCTCTTAAGGTGATTTATGAAATTTTCCACAAATGAAATATTCTTCAACATGTTTAAGTAAATAGTTCTTCCTTATTATTATTTCTAAGTAAATCCTTTCTTCCTCATTATAACATTCAAAAATTATTTATTGACCATCGGCTATGTTCCATGCTCTGTTCTCAATACTGGGAATTCTGGTATGACCAGACCCCCCTAATCCCTTTCACATTGTCTAGGGCAAGGACAAATCAAGAAAGAAACAAGTTGGCCAGGCACGGTGGCTCAGGCCTGTAATCCTAGCACTGTAAGAGGCCGAGTGGATGGATTGCCTAAGTTCATGAGTTTAAGATCAGCCTGAGCCAAAGTGAGACCTCGTCTTTAAAAAAATAGCTGGGCGTTGTGGCAAGCGTCTGTGGTCTCAGCTACTTGGGAGGCTGAAGCAAGAGAATTGCTTAAACCCAAGATTCTGAGGTTGCTGTGAGCTGTGAAGCTATGGTACTCTACCGAGGGCAACAAAGCAAAACTATGTCTCAAAGAAAAAAGCAAGTGTATGCCATTTAGGCCTCTGAATCAGCACACAGAATCTTCCCATGAGAGACAGTCACTATTCATGTAAATATGACAAGCAGATACAGTGTTATTAGATGCTCAGGATTTTATCTGATTATTTCTGTCTTGTAAACATTAATTTTCTTTTGGCTTGAATTTCTGCATGACTCAAAGATGTTTTTCGTTTTTAATCAGGGAACACATTTGCAGAAAATATCGCACATTTCTTAAGATTTTTGTGGGTTCCAATATGTACCAACAGCATTGTGTTTCATTCTTTTAAGGAATAGTGGCATTTCTGTATTGTAAAACCAAGCTGAAATGCTCTTTCTTCTGTCTTGCCTGTAAATATGCTCAGAGATTCTAAAGCAACAAATGTTATGTCTGATGTTCTTTGTGGAATTCAACAGCATCTTTTTCTTGACTGTAGAGCTTATTGCTTAGCTCAGAGTTTCTCCCCTAAAACTCTCATGTCTCTGGTGCAATAGTTCTGGATTTTTTTCTTTTTTTCTCTTCTTTTTTTTTTTTTTTTTTGGAGAGTACAGTAGCCTCATCGTAGCTTACTACAACTTCCAACTTCTGGGCTCAGGCAATCCTCCTGCTTCAGCTTCCCAAGTAGCTGGGACTATAGATATGCCCCACCATGCCTGGCTAGTGTTTTTATTTATTTATAATATTTTGTAGAGACGACGGGCTGTCGCTTTTGGTCAGGCAGGTCTTGAACTCCTAAACTCGAGTGATCCTTCCACCTCAGCCTCTCATAGTGCTAGGAATACAGATGTGAGCCATCATGCCTGCTCATTGAAACATTTTTGAACACAGGAAGGTTTTCTTAGAAGATAGAAAGGGCTATTTCTGATAGGAAGAAATGTTTAGAGATGTTGGAGGTTCACAGTTCTAAGAGTTATGCCTATACACAGGCTCCCATCTCAAGCCTGAAGTTCCCACTCCTTTCCAACCAGCACCTTTACCTTACCGTAAGAGACTTAGCAAATACACCTTTGTCAGGCCTGTGCTCCTGAAACCTCTGCATTCCTCAGCCATGACCCTCATACCTGCCTAAGATAAGGCCATCATGGAAACTTTCGGATATTTTACCTATGCTTTGAGTTGAGATTTCAAGGCACTAAGGTTATCTTTTTCTTTTGGAAATCTCTTCAGCACAGTTGGAAGAAGCCATCCCACCCCACAAACTTTGAATTCACCACAGTGTCATAGCAACCAAATGCCACAAGCCCCTTGATCTTACCCTTGTGGGTAAGTGCTTTACCCTCCGTTGACATTCTCGTTAAGTGATACTTTGAGTGATCCTGATGCCCTAGCATGCTACAGATTAGCAGGGTCCCACTTTTCCCTAGCAGGGAGGCCACGCATACACTCACCATCCTAACTGCGGGATCATGTTTTGATGGGCTCTTTCCTTGGGCCACTCCCTAAAACATGCATTGTATTAGGATCGGAGAACAAAGTAATATTCAGCTGGGATTTTGAAGAAGAGTTACTAAAGAACAGTTTACTGAAGTTCAGGAAGAGTTGCACAAGTTCAGTTCATCGTGCACAAACGAGGCCCTAGGCACCTGCAATGGTAGGAAGCCCTTACCTACCTTAATCCTCAGGCCTGAGGGTAAAAGGAGACTGGAGCCTGGTGAGTAGCAGAGCTGTCATGGGCAGAGAAGGAGCGGAGTGGAAAAACCTTTCTCTCTTCCTGCTCTGAAGCATGCCTCCCACTGGTCTGACCAGAAGCCAGACCTTAGGCAGCTTTGGTGGTAGAGTCTGTGGAGGTTCCCTTCCTGGGCCACAGAGGAGGTGAAGTGGAAAACAGCACAGAGGTTCTGTGAAATTAGCAGTAGAATTGGAGCTGTCCAGATGGGTCCGAAGCCCCATGGGCTCATGGCATACTACATAAAATGCCCCAAGGAGAGCTTGAGAAGAGATTCCTCTGTTATATGGGAAGATCTTCAAACTATATTGTGTAAGGTTCTGAAATTGTCTCTAAGAGCAAACTAGGTGAATATATTTGCAGGATAAATTGCTTAAAATTATGTTTAAGCTCTGCAATATGTATGTGTCTGGCAAAATTGGCGATGTCTTTTATATGATTTTTATAAGGTACTTCAAATTCTATGATTGTACTATGTCCTAGTATGCAGAATTCAAAACATAATATGGAAAAGGCTTATTTTTTCCCCAGCTGCTACTTTAGGGTCATCTGATAACCCCTACTAGAATGAGTTCACATATGCACACAGCTCCCCTGATTTCAGGGCTCAGTTGTATTTCTGTTATGTAGTTCATTGACTGTCCCTACTCCTCTCTTGTAAGACAGTAACAAGACTATCTCTAATGGGAAGGATCCAAGGCCTTTAATCTTGAACTCACAGTGTTCCTCTCCCCCTTTTTGCCCTTCCAGGAGGACAACGGTTAGTTTTGTGGCTTACTGCTGCTCCACCCAGTGTCTGCAGACTTTTGACCTGCTGAGCTGATGAACGCTGAGAGCCTTGGGAGGACTGCCAGCTCAGGACTGCCAGCTTAGCACTGCCCCGCCTGTGCGTCAACTGTGCATTGGGGTGGGAGAGTCTAGCCAGGCTGACACAGGCCTGTCCACCCTGTCCTGTCAAACACAGGGGCACTCCGGAACTCTCTGGAAATGTCATAATTGAGCTTCAGAGCTGAAATGCCTTCACCCTTCCCCCAAGTTGGAATATATCCTCCCTCAAACTAAGGACCCTTTGTCTTCTGTGTTTTTCCTTTTTATGTGAGTGCATCTTGCACAAAAACTATTTAGGTTGGTGAGCCTCCCAAATCTAATTTAAAGCAAGTTTCCATTCCCTGAAGAACCATTAATATAATGTGATGGTACAGCCACATTAACTTTTGGATGCACATACCTTTGGCAATACTTCTTTCTTTCCCCCAGAGAATTATTTCCCCAAGAGGTTACTCTCCACAGTCTCTCCAGTGGAAACTTGTCATTTTCAGAGTGTCAGCAGTCCCCTGACCTTAGTACTGCATGACAGCAGGGTGGGGTGCAGTGAGGATCCCAGACCCATACCCTCTGGAAAGTTACAGCCATTAGCAGGTTTTGCAAATGTATTAAGAGACTTTTATGAGGGCTTTTAAAAACAAAAATATAGATTGTAAAGAAATACATTCATATTTTAAAAGACTATTTACAGAAAAAAGTTTGAAATTTTTTTATTTCTCAGTAAGATTTTTTTTTAATATGAAAAAAGTTTGAAGGCATATGTGAGGCTTTCCAAAATCTGATCCTTGTCTTAGTTAGATTTAAACAGTTTCCTATAATAACCAGTGTTTTATAATGAGAAATGGGGAGGAAACTTACCCCTCAAAATAAGACCTCAGAGTTCTTGTTAGATGGGTTTATGATTACATTTATAATGACTGAAGTATTTTTGTTAAGTGTGAAAAATGGACTTCAGCTGCTTCTGCTGCTAGTCTTTATGAGATCATCTTCATTTTTACCCTGGTGTCTTGTATACTTAACATATTGTTGTCCAGATACCACTGAGAAAATATAGGAGAAGCAGGGTCCAAATTCAGCCCTGGACTTGCAGGCAAGTCCATAAACAGCAAGTCTTGAACCTCACCCTGCTGGCAAGAACTGCTTTTCATGGAGGAGTTGCTCTTTCTTTGAAAGTATGGCATTTTAATGTGCTTTGCTGCCAGATGTTCATCTGGTTGCTGTGAAGTGATTCTTTTTATAAAATGTTTTTTATTTTAATGATGAATTTTCTAAAAGGCAAGACTGAAAGGAGAACCAAGAAAGTTTACTTGGTAGAAAAATCATTTTGAAAAAATTTCAGACTTAATAAAGAATTTGCTTGATGCAATTTCTAACTCTGTAATGCTGGGCTCTAGCAGTGCCAAAAATCCTACATAGTTACTGACAAATGTGTGATCTTTTTTACAGTCACACCGCCTGCTGCTCAGAAAGCACACTGTCCAGGTAGAGTGGCAAAGGCAGAAAGTTACCATGTATCCTCACTGTTCTTACTTCCTCTCTTCCCTTTTCATAACTTGGTCTATTCAGTCTTAACATTTCAAAGGCTTATAATATAATAGGACCTGAAGATCTATATCAAACTGTAACACTTCTTTCATCCTTTGGAATAATTGAAGTTGTAACATAGCCTCTACATGTATCTAAGTTGGCAGGTGAAAAAATATGGCATGAAACTTCACAAATGTTCTTGAGACCTAAGTGTCTGCAACCTGTCATTTAAGTGACAGTAAATATATCGCTACATCTTTCTATTCCATCCTCTACGATAATGTCTTAGAATGGAGCTATGAAATGTGCTAACCTGATATTCAGGATTCTTTTTGAGGTAAGGTATATAATATGTGAGTTTCACTTTGTTGGAAATTTTACAAAGAAGCTTACCATCCAAGTATCCTCTCTCTAATTGTTATAAACTACCATATGTTGAAGACCAGCCGTGGGCTCAGAAGATAACCTCTGGGCAGTCCCAACTTTAACCTTCAGGTGTAGCACCTGAGCTTAATCAATGAGAAATAGGACATCTAATTTTCCTGGTGCTGTTCACTTTGGAAATTTTGTGTTGGATTCTCTGATACCACTCTTCATCTATTTTTTTCTTTTCTTTTTTCTTTTTTTTTTTTTTTTGAAAGAAGAGTCTCCCTTATTCGCTCTGGCTAGAGTGCTATGGCATCATAGCTCACAGCAACCTCAAACTCTTGGGCTCAAGTGATCATCTTGCCTCAGCCTCCCAAATAGCTGGGACTATAGGCACCCACCACAATGCCTGGCTGGTGTTTCTATTTTTAGTAGAGACAGGATCTTGCTCTTGCTCAGGCTGGTCTCCAACTTCTGAGCCCAGGTGATCCACCTGCCTCAGCCTCCCAGCGTGCAGAGATTATGGGCGTGAGCCACCTCGCCCCACCCATTCTTTTTTTTTTAATTTTTTTTGCCCCACCCATTCTTAATCTTTTGATATAAAGGAATGTTGTTGACGAGAAAATCTGCCTTTATGCTGTGTATTTGGATTGTGTCCAAAGCTTTTCAGAAAAGTGAATCTAAAGTTATTATATAAGTTGTTTTCTTGAGCAACAGTTACAGTAGGTAAAAAAAATACATCACACAAGTAAGAATAATGCCAAAAAAGAAAAAAAGATGAGCTACTTGGAAAGTATCGTCTGTTCAGGTAAGATGACATCAATGAGTTGGTGTGAGGCTAGTTTCAGGGTAGCTTCATGAGCAGAGGCCTTCTATGATGTAGTACAAAAGGACTGTTTGAGTGGATTTCCCTATCAGTTTTCAGTGTGCCTAATTATTACTGCATAGTATTGTGTAGGCAAAATGTTGCATCTTCAATTAGTATGTATTTTGAGCACACTTTTAAAATTTTTTAAAGGATAAATACACAAAATATCTCTTGACTATTGGAGTATCTACTCTGATGAATTTCTTTGTTTATCTGACCCTCTTGTTCTGGAAAAGGTACACATGAAACAACTTTTTGTCAATGCTCACTCTTCACATTCTGGCTTGTCTGACTGGTTTAATGTACATTTCAATTTTATTTCACATTGAGCATTACAAATTAAAATGTTTACCGTCTAAGAAAAAAGGCTTCTATGCCAGTTGGCTTATGGAGCTCTGAATATAGTTTTACCTAAAAGACATACCTATTTTGTAATCTCTCAGGACTTGCAAAGCTAATTTTAAAAATTATTGATAATAAAATTATGTTTCTCTTCCTTGAATTGAAAGGTCAGGCATTCTTGTTACTATAAAATGCTTGACATGATAAATCACTTCACTTCAGCACAAATCAAAACATTCTTACTCAGATGGTTTATGAACATGGATTCCTAACTAGACTGATTCTAATGCAACCTGATGCAGTTAAATACTGAGATGTAAATTCACTTCACAGGTTTATAAACACACTCTGTAAGAATCTTTCTTGAAGTATCTTTACATAACCCTGGCCATTTTATTATGCTTTTATTCCTGTGGTTTCTGTTTGCTCCTGCTTGCTCCTAATGAGGAGCTTCTCCATTATTCTAGGAACTCATTGAATATCTTGCCTTTTCTTCAAACAGAGGGGATTTTTATAAAGTCTGTATTCTTGAAAATAGCTCCTCCGTGTCTGTCTAAAAATCATCCAAATTCACTGTCCCTATCTGGGAAGTACCTCCCTCTGTCTTCAGCCGGCTAATAGATCTGAAAGTGATGTGAATGTCTTCTAGGAAAAGAATTGATCACAGCCGAGTGACTCTTCTCCTTGGTCAGGAAAGAGATTGCTTCACAGCATAGGCTGTTCTCTTTGAAGCAGAGAAAGAAAAGTACTGGCAGCCCAGTGTGGTGGCTGGGCAGAAGGTGGAGCATTTGGAGATCATTTCTCTGTGCAATTAAGAGATTTTAAGGATTGGTCATGTTTTCTTCCATTCACAGCTGTGGATTATTCTTGCTACTTGTGTCAAAAGAATATCAGGTTTTGTTTCCTGTAGTGATTTTTTGAGTCTATAATGATCCCACGTTTAAATATATATAATGAAAGGATTTCCCAAGACTGCTGTTTTTTATTTAGTGATTCTTCTGAAATTCAGCAGTCTATACTCGCCTAGAATCTGCTCGGGTGGTTTAGTGGTCAAGTAATGACTGGGCAGAGATTTCTCTAAACATCTGAAACTGGTGAGTTTCCCAGTCTGTGTTGGAGCTCTGCCTGCATGGTGGGGCACCCCTTTGGCACTCATCCAAGAAGGTGATAGCTCTGCCTTTGATTCTACTTTTGCTTGTGCATCAAGGTCAACATTGTGCAACACAATGACAGCTCTGGATGTTCTTTGGTCTTTCCTGAGAAGGAGCATAACCCTGGAAATGTGCAAAGCCCTATGCATGTGCATGACCATCTAAATTTCCAGGAATATCAGAGCTTTGGACATCTCATTACCCAGCTTTTGGTAAGCTTACTGCAGTGTTTTTCAATCACCTTTATCTCCTGGCACACTTAAACCTGTAGTTAAGCTTCCATAGCACACTTAAATTATGTGGATTAAAGTAAAAAGACACTGTGCATTGAACTTCTTTCAAAAGTAATTTAATTAATGATCTTTAAATTTTTTCAGCATACCAAAGATCCTCTCATGGCACACTAGTGTTCATAGCACACCAATTGAAAATTATCACCTACTCCAAGGGTTATCTACCACTTCAGCAAGCAATAAAGTTAATCAATTGCCCCAGAGACTTTGTCAACAAATGTCCCTGGGGAAAAGGCTTTTAAATCTTGGTGAGGTTCAATCTGGTAAAATAAAAGACAGTCTCGTAAGTGTGGTCTTCCAGGGGGCTGGCAGACAGGCAAATACTGAATGTTCTGGGAATGAAGCTTTAAAGGTGGTCCAATCCCATTCTGTTCCCTCCAGCTTTCAGGCTGCTGGTTTTCAAGGATAAGCAGAGATAGAGGGAGATGTGGAAATGGGACAAGTTAAAAATGCCACAAAGCTAGTATAGACTGCTGAATTAGTTCGGAAGAGTCACTAAATAAAAATAGCAAATACATCAAAGCTTGGCTAGGAGGTAAGTAAATATGATTTCCAGAGTTACCACGTTCTTTAAAATCTCCAGTTTTCTACAAAAATAAAATATGTCCTCTGCAGAGGGGGAAGAAACAACAGAAACTGCACCAAAAGAAGTCCAGACTTTGGACTTTTAGACAAAGACCTTAAATCAGC